CGGGCACTGGGTAGGAAGGGAAGGAGAAAGACCGCGATGTGGGAAAATGTCACGATTTAGCCGATCCGGAGATCGGGACCTTTTTTTTTGCCACTTAAAAGCAGCGTCTCGTTGCGTTCTGTGCAGCCGCTTGGTTGTCTGACATTGTCCGCTCCCTCTTTCGTCCTAAATCTCCCATTCAGCGTGGACTTCCCACCCTCCCAGGCTGAGCAGGCACGACATTGAGTGTCCTGTTTTCTAAACGCAAATAGTTTTGGTGGTTAGGGAGAGGGCAGGTGAGCAGCTCCCAGCTTTCTCCCTGGCAGGGCTCATCCGGGCTGGCTGTCACCCACAGCCCATTTATTTCCCCGCAATCAATGGCTCTGGCGCTTCCTGTGTGATGCYGCCGGGTCGTGATCGCCGAGCCTGGCACATCTCAGGTCTGTGCTGCTAGGGGCACTCCTGGACACTTTTCAAACACGAGCTCTCCTTGCCAGCCGAGGAGGGAGGAGGTGGGATGAGGTGCCTGGGCATGGAGCACTGGAGGATGTGTGTTGATACTCTGATTTCTGCTCCTGCTGGTRTGGAGAAACCTCCCCTGGAGGAGGTGGATCAAGCACTTGTGCAATACCGAGTTTACCGCGGTAAATTTTACCTGTTGAGAGGAAATGTGACTTTCCTTGTAGTTGCTGCCSTCYTCGTGGAGCTTGAACGTTTKAGCGGGGAACTTGGTACTTAACATRTGAATTTCTGCYAGATCCCATTTGTACTTGYTACTGTGAAACCAGAAAGGTTTGYTTAGACCTCAGGAGATRCATTTGAGCTAATAGCTCTCATTCCTTAGTCCTGCTTTGGTGGAGAGTCCATATGTTGAGGTTCCATACTGCGTGAAGTTAACTTTTGCCAGGAYTGTGTGTTTTTCTCACTGTGCAATACTTTAGCATTCTGACARGGCTGACACTGTGCTGCCTGTTGCATTTTTATCCTTTTCCTCCTTAAAATTGATGCTTTACAGGCCTGATAAGCGCAATAATAACATACTGCAAAAGCGATGTTAAGGATTATATTACAAGAGAAATATTGTGTAGTTGGTTGGGTTGTTTTTTTTTCCCATCCTGGCAGGGTCTGCACAATTCCATTYAGTTCCAGTAGCAAAGCAGCAGATTCATTAAGATTCAGCTATGTTTTGTATATTGTCTTTTTAAATATGCACACTGCTCCCTCGGAGCAGCGGGGATGTTCTGCACATGTGTGGTGAATAAATAGCGAGCGCAGCCGATCGCGGAGCGCTGCCAGTGCTTTTTGTGTTGGTGCTGACGGGTGCGGGAGCGGGGGTGCTGATGAGGCTCCGGGGGTGCTATTGAGGTTCCGGGGGTGCTGATGAGGCACTGGAGCTCTGTGGGGCAGCCACAGGTGATGGCACGGCTGGGTCAGTGCATGGGAGGTATCTCTGGTGTGGGGGTGACCAGACTCACCTGGGGCTGGTGAGGTGTTCGGAAAGGGCTGGGCTGGAGTTGGAAGCCTTGAGGAGCAGGTGGAGAAGGCAGACAAGTGGGTTKTTATTAATAAGCACGGGGGAGATGTGCCTGTTCTGGTGGGGATAACTTGTTGTTGCTGTGACAGGGGAAGYCTTCTTCCTTGCCACTAGCCAGGCAGAGTGCATTTGCATCTCATCCATCCTGTACTGAGAAGAATGGATGGATGGATGTAGAGCACTGTTGAGCAATGAGCTGATCCTCTGGGAAGGGGAATTTGACTACAAGATGTGTCCTATTACTTAGGAAATTAAGTTTGCAAGCATTAGCAAACAGCATTTTTTTCCTTTAAACACGGGCAGGGCTGTGGGTTAATCCAGACTCCGAGCTGGCATGTGCGAGAGTTTCTCTCCTGTTTCAATGGCAGGTGAAGCAGCCACAGGAATCTGGTTGGGTGGAGTGTGCAGGGCCGGGTGGGGTGGGAGGCTCTGGAGTAGGTGGCTGGCAGGGTGGCACCGATGGAGAGGGAAGAGCTCAGGCTGTTGGACTTGTGGGATGGGAAGGGAAGGAGGGATTGGGAAACTCTCCTGGGAATGGGTTTCCTTTCCCAGCCACTGCAAATGAGGTTGCAAGGCCAGCTGCATAGGAAGATGCTGCCTTTTGACTCCTCTTAGGCTATTTAAGCTCTGAAGGATAATCTTGATGTGCACTAGGGGTTTTTTTTCTGCCAAGCCACCCTAAAGAATGCCTTCTGTTGGTGAAGATGCTGTTTAAAAAGGCACCTTCTCCCTGTGATTAGGAAGGGTGTGTGAGGCATAAAGAGCAGCAGACCCAAGGGTACAGGAGGGTGACCTGCAGAGAGCAGGTGTGGCTGAGGGAGGGCACTGTCCCAAAGCTGTGTAGTGACAAGGACAGAGCCCCTCTGCTCTTGCTCCTCCCCTATTTCCTGCGAGTGCTCTCTCGCCCCCTTCCCATGTGTTTTCCTTTGAATATGGCAGCTGTCCCAGCCTGTGCTCCCTGTTCCAGGGGCATTATGGCTTCTTGCCTACTCCTTACCAYGCCTGTCAGCCATGGCTGGCTGGTCCATGACCAACCATCTCCAGATCCTGGGAGGGCAGGAGGTGCTGAGTACGCAGTTACTGATGACGGATGTGTTGGTGACACATTCATTTATCTGCCGTCTCTGTCAAGTCCTCTCAAGCTGACCCTTGTCACTACACATCTGACTGACACTGTCACTACACACACTGACCCATCACGGGTGATACAGCCCTTTGTTCACAGTCTAAAATGTCAAGTGATGTGAGCCTGGAGAGGTTTGTAAGATTATGACTGTATTTTTAATGTGTTAGAGCTCTGTAATGGAARTCAGAGCAACTTTCAGCCCAGTTCTTCAAAGAGAAGCCTTTGGATTCATGTTTCCCTATCTCTGTTAAGCAAAGATACAAGCTTCACGTTTCTTATCAGAGGGTCCTTGGAAGTGTTTGCAGCGTTCCCCCAAGGAGGTTGACAATGTTTGCCCAGGGAGGAGAGATTGTCTTCTTAACAGAATCCAACAGGTTARTGTTGATAGGGAGTAAAATGGTGACTTAGTAGAAAGAAGTGTGTGCTTGCTAATTAACATGTTTTCACTGGGAGGGGATAGGGCTGGGTCTGTGTGGGATTTGGGCACGTGTTCCTTCTAATATATTCTTGCACATACAAAGGGATATGCTTGGGGTTCGACTGCATAGTGGAGACATGAAAGAAAGACACAAGCCCTGGTAGCAATCTGAGGCACTTTATAAACTGGTGTTAATCAGAGTCGGAAATGGGTTGATTCAYATGAACAGGATCTGGGCTCTGTGCAGACATATGTGGTTTCTCCTCAGCTCATTGTCCACACAGCTGTTGTGTTTAGCTCATTGTCTTGGTGTGGCAACTGGAAGAAACAGGGCAATGTGCTGCTCTGTGCCAAATCCAATGCAGCTTTCAGCTGCTGCAACTCTCACTTATGTGAGAGGGACCCTGATTGGTTTTGGAGAATGGAACGGATTCCTTTGGGGAATAGGCAGCAGGAGAGCAGAGTGAGTTACTCTGCAGGCATTGAGGACATGAGACCTTTCTTCTGTGACTGAAACCGCAGCCTGTCTCAATTAAACATCTGCCATGACCATCCTGCACTGTCACCTGTGCCAGTATAGGATTTGTCTCTTCCAGCACAGCTGCATTTCCTGTTTAAACGAGGATGCTCTGAGTGTGTTAAGCATGCACRAGGCTCTCCAGTGCTCACCACAGCAGCACAGGCTCACTGCAGATGGGCTGTAGGGATAATGGCTTCAGCCATTGTTGATGGCCTTTGGGAGGTGTGTAACTGCCAGGCTTGGGGTGCTCCTTTTGTTATCCCCAGAATGATCCCTGGGTTGGCTCCCTCTCTTGAGAGTAAGGGCAGGGCTCCATGCAGTGAAGGGTGGGAGAGCAGTACCCCTGTAGCCCTGCTGCTCTGCTCCATCTGGGTCACCACCAAAATTATCAAGAGCCCTGCTCCTAAGGCCAGGAGAGAAGCTTTCTTCCTAAAAAAGGGGGGGAAAAGATGGATAAAAGGTAGCTCAAAAGCTTTGAGCCTTTGGGCATCTGCTCTTGGGTGGACAGGGCACGAACCCTTCCTTTACCTCAGTGTGTAAGCAGGTCTCTCTGCCCTTCCTCCCCACACCTTCACAGCTCCCTGTKTGCCCGGCTGGGGACAGAGACTCCGCCTGAATGAGTTTATTGTTCCTGGGTTCTCACTGATGGCTTTCATTGAACGCCCACAGCCAGGAACACAGGGAGTGCCTATGCAAAAA